CACTTGACAAATAGGCAACATTATGATAGCAGGAGAAAGGACTGACGTTGTCAATGAGTCCATTTTACTTGGATCTGTACTCAACACCCATGGTAGCACCAGTCAAGAGCTCAAAAAACATGTTACATTGGGAAAATATGCTGTTAAGCACCCCTCCAAAAGAGCAATGATATCAGCTTTAAGACTAAGGTGTACCTGATCCAAACCAAATCAATTACTCTTTACATATCTGAAAGTTGGACAATGTATAAGGATGTCAGGCAAAGAATTCATGCCTTTCATTTGTGGTGTTGAGAAAGGGTACTGAATTGCCCATGGACTTCCAAAAGAACAAACAAGTCTGTCTTGGAGGAAGTACAGCCAGAGCTTTCCTTAGAAGCAAAGATAATGAAACTTAGTCTCACACATCCTGGGTATGTTGTTAGGAGAGTCCAGTCCTTGAAAAACGACATTATTATTCAACAAATGGTGCTGGAAAAACTGGACTTCCACCTGAAGAAAGTTGAAACAGGATCCACATCTCACACCATACACAAAAATCAATTCAAGGTGGATCAGAGACATGGGAGTAAAGCCCAAAATCATAAGGTTCAGAAAAGACAAACTGGGATCAGCTTAGAAGTGCTAGTCCATGGTATAAAGACACTGCCAAGTACAACCAGAAATGCACAATCTTAAGAGAATAAAATTGATACATGGGACCTTCTACAGATTAAATCTCTGTGCACCTCAAAAACTTTTTGGTGAATTCAAAGTTTTCAATGTGCTGTGAAAGCATTTTCCCCCCAATTGTTGAGATTGGCCCTAACCCAAACAAAAAGGAAAATAGAGGAAATTTGGATGACAGAAGAAGAGTCAATCCCTTTGAATTGTGATACTTGAGAAGAGTATTGAACATACCAAGAAAACAAATAAGTGTGCCCTGGAGAGGGTGAAATCAGGTTGCTCCATTAAGGCATGGATTTTGAAACTCCATCCCACATATGTTGGGCATGTTGCTGGGAGGTAGACAGTATCATTTGGTGAGAAAGGAGGCATCAAAAATACATATAATGTGGACTTGGGGCGGGAGGGGTTGCATACAATGAAAGAGTTTTTCTTTCTTTTCAAGGAGAAGAGTGAATTGGGGGAAGGGGTGGGTAGGGGAAAAAGTGCAACAGTGAATGTCTGGAAAACCTAAGTCTCTATAAACTTTCATCAAAATTAATTTATTTTAAAATGACATATGTTGAGAAAAGTGGAGAGTCAGAGAAAGAGAGGAAAAACCCTAACATGGACATGGACTTGAGCATGACAGATGCAGTGAGTATGGTGTAGGGACAGGGCAAGCTTCAGATCTGTTGTTCATAGACTTCCTATGAGCCACAGTTGACTCAACGGCACCTAAAAGCAACAACACCGCCGTCAAATTAGTTCAAATCACAGCAGTAAGAGAAAGCAGAATTGCCCATATGGTTTCTGAGATGGTAAATCTTTATAGAAGCAGATTACCTTACTTTCTCCCATAGAACAGGTGGACCTTTTGGCTAGCAGCCCACTTCTTATCCTGCAATACTACCGGGGCTCCTCAAATAACATCACTCACCCACTGCCAATGAATAGACTCTAAAGCACAGTGACCCTCCGTCAAGGTTTCCAAGGCTTTATATCTATGAGAAGAAGTTGCCCATCTTTCTCCTGCAAATCAGCTGATGGATCCCACCCACTGACCTTTGGGTTTATACCAAAATACTAATGCACCATGCAGCCAGAACTCCTTAACACTTACAGGGGAGATAAAATACTATAAAAGCTTTTAGAAAGGCAGTCTATTAATGCAAAGAATTTGCTTTCTTGATCAGCCCTGGGAAATCTTGGGTCATAATTTATGACTATTCCAATCTCTTTTTATCCAGCTATTTTTGTTTGTCTCACACTTGCTCAATGTCTGTTAAACTGTTTTGACAGATGAGTCAACAAACAGTTTTAAAAAAAAACCAGACCAAAAAAACAACCAACATGTTAATCACCATGCAGTCTGAAAGTCAGGTCGCCACAGATAATGTTTTATCTGTAAGGAAAACCAACCACAGTGGGCTGTCCCCTTCCCCCCATATATTTTACTAAATGAGGACCAGGGCAAAGGACCTGAGGATAAAGTGTTTGCACACACTTTGAGAAAGACATACTATTCTATGACTTAGAGCCATTTTAAAGCCTGCTTCCTTAATCAAGGACAACTCATCTCAATATGCTTGTGTCTTCTGAAAGTCAGCCAGCCCAGTGCACACCAATCAGCAGCAGGCTCACAAAAGCTACTTCGTGAATGGTGTCGTCACATCTGAAAGTACCCCAGTCTCTGAACTCTACGCTAACTACCATTTCAGACCAGCATTCTATTCTGCTTGGCTGTGCCTGGCCAGCACAGCTCTCTCTTACTAGAAACCAAAACCCACTGCTGTTGAGTCCATTCGAACTTGTAGCAACCCTCTATTAGATTTCTTATGCTATAAATCTTTGTGGGAAGATACTGTTCATCTTTTCCCATGGAACACCCAGTGGATTTGAACCACTGACCTATGGTTTAAATTCCAACACACTGTGCACTATGCCAGACCTCCTAAACTCAGCTTTGCCTTCTTATTTCAAATATATAGCAATGATCCCATGATCCTTTGACAAGGGCAAAACATATCCTCTTTTATTACCAGTTCCTATCTCAGTGTCTGATACAGGTGAGGTTTTCAGTGTTTGAATAAAACTCAGCAGATAAGAAATCTGAAAAAGTGTTGTAATTTCCTAGGTAACATAGCTACTTGGAAGCACTGTATTTAGCATTTCAGGTGCCTCCTACAAGTGAGAATTCAAGATGCCTTGTTTGTAATTAACCCTTCACAGTAACATCAGGAGAGACACATTTCTTTATTGTTTGAAGAGCCCTGAATCATTTTAGAGCCCCATAAAGCCAAGGAATTCATTTCTGAAAGTGAACTGGCAAAGAGATGGCAAAATATGCTTTACCATTTGCTACCATCAGAGCAGAGCAGTGACAGCTCCTTGACTTTTAAAAATAAACCCCAAGGGAAAGGGTAATCCCTCTCTCTCTTTAAAACTGTGTTTAGATTGCTGGTAAACTCGGTTTTTCTGAGGAAGCATCCTGCAGAAGAGGATTTATGTAAGTAATCCTCTGGTCGGGTTTCTTCTTTCTCACCTAAAACTCGGAATAACACTCCTATAATTGGGGCATAGTTACAAGCATTTGCTGTCAAAGGTGCTTCCAGCATTCCTACCCATCAGCACTCTCTGTTCCATTTGCAGTCCCACTAGACCAAGCGTTTCTAAATTTGGCACTATTGGCATTTTGTACTGACTAACTCTTATATGAAGTGAGTTCTGGTGGCCTAGTGGGTAAGGACTTGCACTGTCAAACTGAGGGAGGTGATTTGAATCCACCAGTCGCTCTGCGGGAGAAAGATGGGCTGTCTCCTCCCATGTGATTTATAGTCTCTGAAAACTGGCTGGAGGGTCAGCTATGAGTTGATTTTTACTTGACTTTATTAAGTCTTTATGGGAAGGATCACTGGAGCCATACTGCATTCTCTATTGTACTGCCTGCCAACAGTGTTCAAATCTACCAGCTCCTTGGTCTCAAAATGATGGGTAGTCTCCTCCTGTAAGGATTTAGAACTCTGATCCTCTCTACACTATACTATGTATAGAAGTAGCTTACTCTAAAAAGCACTATATTACAGCTTTTGTGCTGTGTATATATTTCCCTCACTCAGTCAAAGCTTTCATAGGCACTATCTTTTTACTCCTTTTATTAAGTCCATTGTGAGCACTCACTGTACCCAAACAAATATAATCAATGGTTCCAAAATCAGTAACAGAAAACAAGGCTGTGTAGTTTAGATTTTTGATCTAACTTAAATGCAAGAGGTAGGTTTAAACAATCATCTTTAGCAATTGGGGATGGGGTGGGGTGGGGAAGAGGGTCTCTACCAGATTTAGTTCTCATGCTGCTTCGGAATCTTGAATGATAGAAATTGATTATTAAGAATTAAACAAAAGCAGAGCCATGCAGGTGGAATGAAGAATAGGGAAGAACTGTTCCTGTTGTTGTAATTGTTATCTTACATCAAATGCCACCTGTGGGCTCTGCAGAATTGTCTGCCCTGATTCCCCCCCCCCCCATTTTCTCCTGTAACTTTACTCTTGTTCAGGAAGGAAAGCAAATGATGCTCATTCACACGGACAGCCTGGTGGGCAGAAGGGGTGGTGAGAGATAGACTCTCAGAAACAGTGAAGTTCAGCAGCAGAAAGAGACTGAATGCAGGCTCGGAGAGGAGCGTAAACAGTGCCTTTCTTTAATCTCTGATCAGGAGAGAAGGTTCTTGCAACATGACAGCTAGTAACCTAGGAGATATCATTTTATGCAAAAATTAGCTGCTGTAATTTGCAAAGGAAAGGAATGAATCAGAATAAAATAAAAACCTAATCTGCCTTTGCCTTATGTATGGTAACATCCCTGCCAAGTCACTTTACCATCTTTCCCTTTCCTGATCCGTGAACACCTCCCAACTCCAAGATCAGAAAGCGCCAGGGTCATCCAGTAAAGCCTCAGGCATCAGCTTCTGCAGGTCCTTAAAGTCTTTAGAACCAAATTCGGCCTTGTGGAATTAGCTCATCCCACCCTCCATTCATATATATATATATATACACACACAACCACTCAGAGACGGCACATGACGTTATCATCCCTCTGATGGTAATATTTTTCAAAGTCTCTGATGCTCCCTTTCTCTTTCCCAGTCTATTCCTTGCCTTTATCCTTCCACAAAGAGGAAAAGATTTTAGTTTACGCAAATCTAAGTGTTTGGTACTGGCTTTGGCGGTTTGGTTTTTTGGTTTGGGGAATGTGTTTTGTTTGTTTGTTTGCAGGGGGGTGGGTGTATGTGTGCTGAAAATAAAGCTTGTCCACATATATATGAAGTATTTTTAGGGGTTGCTATCACACCCACCTCGATAGCTTCAGGCATGGGTGAGACACTGTTGGTCCTCCTGGAGCCCACGCGGAACTTGGCCGCTTTGTAGATCTTCCAGTACACGAAGAGCACCACGCAGAGCGGCAGGTAGAAGGCGCCCACGGTGGAAAACACGGTGTAGGACGGTTCGCGACTCACCTGGCACTCCTCATTGCCCTCGGAATACGTTTCCCCCCAGCCGAAAAGCAGCGGGGCCAAGGAGATGACTGCAGAAAGAGCCCAAGTGAGAGCGATCATGATGTTGGAGACCCGCTTGCGGGCGCGCAGTGTGTACTCCAAGTGGCGTGTGATAGACCAGTAGCGGTCCAGAGCGATGGCTGTCACGTTCCAGATGCTGGCAGTGCAGCACAACACATCGCACGAGATCCACAGCTGGCATAGCCTACGGCCTAGCTGCCAGCGGCGCCCAGAGAGCTCGTGCACCAGGCTCAGTGGCATCACCAGCGCTGCCACCAGTACGTCCGAAATGGCCATAGACGCCACCAGGTTGTGTGGCACGCGGTGGAAGGTGCGCACACGCAGAATGGTCGCCAGCACCAGAAGATTCCAAGCGAACGTCGCAGCCACCAAAGAGCCCAGCAAAGTCAGAACTAGAACACGGAAGACTGAGAGAAGAGGCGGGCTGGGGCGCAGGTCCTCTGTGTCCAGGCTGCGGTTACTCTCCAAGGAGGACGGGGTGAAGATGGGAACATAAGTGAGATTCACAGGTAAATCCATGTCTGGGGCAGGAAACCAGCCCCAGGATCCGCGCAGAACGGTGTCCAGGACCACCCAATGTGGCCAGTGCACTCACAATCACTCCAGACGTTTACAACCTCTGGCTAGTGGCGGGGTTTCGGGGAAGTGCCTGTGAATTTGGCTCCAACCCCGCGTGCAAGTGAGCATCCGTGTGAGATGGCGTGGCGGAGAGGAGACTGGGCTGCAAGCCGCGGCAAGTCCGAATTCGTCAGAGGCTGGGAAAGCACAGGCGAGGGGCTGCGTCTTGCAGCGAGGGCCCGCCTAAACGGTCACATGCCCAGCGCTGCTCACCTCAGCGGACACAGCTGTCTGGTTGTCCCAAAGCGAGCATCTCCCAGGCGGGTGCACGCTCTGCCGACTGGGGCGAAACTGGAGCAGCCAGTCTGGGTGCCAGGAGAAAGAAGTGTTGCTGCGTCAGAGCCTTAGCTCCGGCAGCAGTTGTCTCCCCACCCGCCCCTCTCTCCTAGAAGCTGGCTTCAGACTCTCTTCTGAGCTAAAGAAGCCACGCTTTCCGGGACCTGCTTTCCGTTTCCCCACCCCCCACCCCCACTCCTTCTCTTCCCTAACCCGTATGGGGCTACAGCTGGGAAGAAAGAAGAAAAAAAAACACACCACCATTGCAACCATTCAGATCTGCCTTCTCAAACTGGGGATCCAGCCTTGCGTCAAAACATCAGCTGCTAAGAGCTGCCTCCCCAGTCTCTCGGTAGCACAGCGCCTACGCTTGGCGCTGTCCTTGGTGCTGCTGCTCTTGCGGAGAAGGGGGCTGGCCACGTGGAACAAGTTTACCAATACACATTCCCTGAAACTTCCTCTGGCCAAACTTCTGTCCCCGCCCCTCCAGATGCTCCTCTTGAGACCCTGAACAGAGTCTTGCCATGACAGGAGGTGGGCTGGAAGCTTGTTGTTCTTAGAGGTAGCAGAGTACAACCCATAGCGACCCTATGGACAACAGATCTGAACTCGTGTTCTATCCTGTGCCAAACCTCACAATCTCTAACACACTGGAGCCCGTTGTTGCAGTCACTGTGCCAATCCACCTGGTTGAGGGTTTTCCTCTCCGTCACCAACACTTCATCTTTCCAAGCATTATGTCCTTCTCCATTATGTCCTTTTCCTTAGCAATATGTCCAAAATATGTGACAGGAAGCTTTGCCCAACTTGCCTCCAAGGAGCACTGACAAAGTAGTCAAGTAAGGCAATCACCAGGAGACTAGAGACTGATAATAGAGAAACTCACTAGGATCCAGAGGAGAGGACATTGTTAAGAATTTGATGATGATATTATTCATTAAGCACAAACTTATTCACAGAACTGTTTAGTCAGATTCATTCAAATAAAATTCACTGGCAAATTGGAACCAATTCATAGCTGGCTCTCCCTTGGGTTTCTGAGGCTATAAATTGAATTGGAGGAGATTGCACATCTTTCTTCTGTCGAGCAGCTGATGTATTCAAACTGGCAGAGTAATATTGTCTCTGGGTTAGCAGCTCACGTCTTCGTAGACTACACCGTTAGACTGCCTTACATGCTGGAAGTGAAAGAATGAGGATGTCACTGTCAACTACTGGAAACCATGCTCTTCCCTGAAGGTGTCATAGGTGCCAAGTACAGCCATCTTACCAAGCGAGTTAAGTGTGCTAGTAACAATATAGAAGAAATTTTGAAGTATGTATTTTCCCCTTCTTCCAAAAGATAAATACATACAAGCAGCAGTTATTTTCAGCCCAAATACCAATTGACCTTATTATCCACATTTCCCCCTGCTTTATTCATTTAATGGATGTGGACTCATTTGGAAGAACCCTAGATAGAGCAAAGTGGGGATGGACTTGGTTGAGGTGAAAAGTGTCAAAAGCTATCGTTGGTGACATCACTGGGAGGAAAAAAAAATTGACTTACTTTCCTAGCTTCAGCATGACACTGAACTCTAATTCCATGCCTTCTACCTAAAAAAGGTGTGTGTGTGGGGGAATAATCAATCCAATTGCTAAATGGGTACAGGATATGAATATACACTTCATCAAAAAAGACATTCAGATGGTAAACAAGCATGAAGAAATGTTCAAATTCTCTAGCTAGCCGAGAAATACAAATAAAAATAACTATGAGACATCATCTCACCTCAGCAACAAAGTTTAACAGAAGAATAAACAACAAATGCTGGCAAGGTTGTGGAAAGATTGGAACACTAATTCACTACTGGTAGGAATGGAAATTGTTCAACCACAATGAAAAAATGAAAGTTTGGCACTTTCTCAAAAAGTTGGAACTAGAAATACCATTTGACTCAGCAATTGGACTACTGGAAATATAACCTAAAGAATCAAAAACTGCCATCCAAACAGATATATGCACACCCGTGTTTATTGCTGCTTTATTCACAATAGCAAAGAGATGGAAAGAACACAAGTGCTAATCAAACAAATGGACCAAAAAACTATGGTATATTCACACAATGACATACTATGCAGCACTGAAAAATAATGAACTCATAAAACATTACACAATATGGGTGACCCTGGAGGACATTATGCTGAGTGAAATGTCTCAGTTTCAAAAGGACAAATATTGCATAATACCACTGTTATGAAGAAGTACTGAAATGAGGGGTTGGGAGGAGAATAGAAAAAGAGTGGATAGATAATGAACACTGCACTGGAACAGATGATGGAGAAAACTGTTTAAAAGTGATATATGATTAGGCATTATATGTAAGACAGCAGTCCAGAATAAGAGGTGCATTGCAAAGAGTACTGGGTAGGCGGAAGGATAGGGCTGAGAGGAAATTGTGCAACAAGGAATGAATATTTTTTTTAAAGTGGACTGGAGGAGAAAGGAAAATGTATAACAATGAATAATGAAAATCAGTTTTTCTGTAAACTTCCATTAAAATCACAATTAAAAGGAAATTTTTCAGGAAAAAAGTGAAAAAAAAAACACAATGCCTCCTAAAGCAATCTCATTGATTACATTGAACTTTCCCATCCAATTTATTAGACTAAATAAACACCTATACAAATTAGAAAACTTTTCTATAATGTTATTTTCTTAGTACATAGCAAAGAGCCAAAAATATACCAGGGTCACCATAAATATTTGTTGAATGAACAAAATTGGAAAACCCAAAATTATTTCCTGAACAAATGATTCATGGTGTTGTGTTGTTGTGTTGTGTTGTGGAGTGTAGGTACAATGAAGAAAGTCTCAGTGTTAACACTGTAACACAGAAATTCAGTTTATCGTTTTAGGGAGACCTAGCATGGTTCTATGCTTTTTTAACTTTTTAAGCACTGTTAATCTGAAGAAGTGAAAATACCCTGGATAAATAGATGTTCAGATGCTATTGAAATCCTATAGAAATAACTAGGACATAGTTTTGCAAATTGTAGCTGTAATGGATACGGGAGGATGCCCTCCCATAATTATTGCAATAAGTGGCATGATCAGATTGGTAGTCAGGGAGAGCCAACCACAAATAGCTAATGAGATGGCTAAAAAAAGAGATGATTCTAAAGGCTAGATACTAAGATAAAAAGATACTAGATACTAGGTAAAAAGATGATTCCAAAGGCAGTTAAAGGTAAAATTGCTTAGTTTATATACTTAAAACATCTATGTTTATTGCAGTATTTTGTCAACAACCCAAGTGTCTATTGATATATGAGTGGAGAAACTATGTTACACAATGGAGTGCAATACAATTTTGAAAAAAGAATGACTAATCCGTGAAACACTATACAGCATGGATGACTCTAGAGTCAT